AGATGAATTATTACACTTATATAATCTTTTACTCATTATAAACTCTATAAGACATAAAATTAAATGAGCTTTTTAACCTTTAAAAAAGATCTCCATTTCATTTTAGAATATATTGTTCCTTGCAGAAAGACTCATTGTTTTTGCTACTAATGCTGAGATGCTGACGCATGCATCTCTAATCTGTATGTATCTGATTACTAGTCCTAATCGGTTGCACTTGATCCTTGGCACCTGTGTATGTCTATGAAGTCATCAGGTAGATTTCAATGGTAATGTTTATCACCTCTACTAATTAGCATGACATAAATTTCCATGCTTCCTCCTCAAATATAATACATTTTTTAAAATTTGTTGATTGTGTGTGTGTGTGTGTGTGTATCACACAGAACACCCCAAACCATCTTATTCAACTATACACCCACTTCCCAGATGGCACCCTCCCATAGACTCCCTCCCCCAACTAGAGCCCTTATACTCTGATATCCCTGCTACTGTCTGCTGTGTTGTCGGCACCCCAGGCAATGCCCACTACTTGCCCTTCTGGTGAATCTATCAGTCAGCCTATCTAGAAATCGTTGTTTTAGACGGGTCAGCTGTTCCTCATCTAGCAGCAATCAGTTGTCAGTACTCCTTTAGATAAGATTAGAGTCTGCTGTTCATTTTCCCAGTTCTATGCTGGGTTACTGTCTGGGAGTCCCTTTGGTCACCCTGGCCAACAACTCAAAAGAAGGTATCCCCTCTCTGGCATTGTTCCTTGTTATGTAGCCTTTAGATATGCATATTGACTCTTAAGAAATTATATTGGCCCCTTTAATCTTTGGTTATACTTTCCTTTTCAGTGTTTAAGGCCATACAGTTGGCCCAGATAAACCAATTTATTTTTACTCTTAAGGTCATTTGAGGATCTGTTCCTTAGGGGTCACATGGGCTTGGGAGGAGCCCCTGGCTCCTTTCTTTTACCAGTTCCACCTATGTGAAGATAAGTCAAAGGTCCTGTTCGACTATGGCTGGCTTTGCTTGGAAGCATGTAAAAAATGATTCCTCTGTGCTGACCCTCCCCTTTGTAGACTGGACACTAGTTCAAGTCAATCTGGTGGGGTCTCCTCGGCCTCCTTGATCAAGAGGACAGGTGACCCACCACAATTATAGGACATTTTGAGAGATGCTCATAGTCCCCTGGAACTAGTCAACCTAGGAAGACAAGGAGCAAAAACTGTCCTTTGTATCCCTCTGACCAAATTAGTATAGGCCTCAAAGTATGTCTGTTAAACATCCAAGAAGGTTAGTTCCACCAGTCTGGTACTTTTAACTACTGTGTGTCATGTAGATAAATCTTGGGCAAAGATCAATTGTTCTCAGATAAACCTTACCTAGACATATATTTCTTGATCTGCTATGTAAAATTTGTCAGTAGGTTATAGGAGTACTATGGTTCCTCCTGGTTTTCAAAACTCGCTAGGCATTATTTATCTCTCGCATTGTCTCACCCCTCCACCATAGTTTTCCCACTTAAGGTGCCCCCATTTCCCCCAT